AGGAGATGGAAATTGGCCACCAAGATTGTGATTAAACCCTACTAAAATTTTTATCGTCACGTTTTCTGCACTCAAAAGTTTACGTTAATAAGCGGGAATGGACCGAGGTCATTAACGGCAAAATATCCCAGATTATCCCCAAATTTGGGTCGGGCCTGCGCTTATCACTGAGACCAATGCTACTGGAAGTGTTGATGCGTACGTGATCCGCAACTTTATCAGGGCATCAATATTTTAATAAGTGAAAGCAAGAAAAAACAAAGGTGAAGGTTTAAATTAATAACTGTATAAATACTTGCTAAATGTTTATTGAAAATTGTCTTTGGTTGTAACGAATGACCGCGCTATTTTCGACTGCGCTGTAGCGGAATCCGAAGTGGCGTAGTGGTCAGCAGTGCGCGCTACCATTCCGCAGGGCCTGGGTTTAAGCCTGGTTCAAGCTAACATCAAAAATATAAAACATAAAAAGTTTGTAAAGTTTTTCTAAATGAAAAATACCAGTATTCCATAGAAATGTTATAGAATCAATGTTTTTTCGCTAGGATAACTCTGTTTCTCTTCAGGAAACTTCCAATAATACTACGCAATTTTTGAAGACTAACGATTCTTTATGGGTAAGAGTCTTCCGATTGATTTTCAAGAATTTTATACAATTTCTACGAAAAGGTGATTTTTCTCCATATGAAAGATATGGAAATTTTAATTTGCTGCCTCAAAGCCCTCATCATAATTGTTCTTAATAAAAATATACGCGTTTTCCATTACGAAAAATCCTAGGGGTCAGAGCTTAACATTTCAAAATTTTTTCCTCGCATGTATTTTTGGACCTTCCTACTATATATACATACATATACATTTCAACATAAAAAAAATTACTTTTCACTAAGGTATATTGACCAGCTAGTAGTATTAGAGCAGAAAAAAAAACCATCTGGTCGTTGTAGCGCCAAATAAGAAGACGAAGAATATTTGGAATCTAAATTGTCAAATATTATTTACCATTTTTCGCTAGAATTATAAATTTTCAGCATTTGAAAACCAGCTTTTGAAACGTAGCATGCGGGTAAATGTGGTTTTGGTCTAACGCTTATACCTACTTCATATGCATTGCTTTCTATTTACATATCAAAATATGACCTTGGCATATATGTAAGTACATATTTTTTCTGAGTAGATACATACAAACTAAATATGTATATTTATGTACTTAAACACTTAGGTGTTGCTAGGCCACATTTCATTAATACTTAAAAACCAACCCTGCATCTGCTAATCGCCTGTATTGTCCTTGCGCACGTGCTGCTGCTACCACTCAGTTCACGCACACCAATGAACCAGTCACGTATTTGTCTTTGCTTCTTCTATCCTCACCGGCTTGAAAAAAAACACACACTTCCATATGTACGTATATATACTTGCTCATGGTGCATGTGTGCAGGTTGAACTAACCGGAAATTACCATATTAACTGTGCTTCCTGCAGAATTAATTAGACTTCCGCTGAGTGCATATAAAAACATGATTATTGACTCAGTCAAGCGGCAAGTCACTCTCCACCACACCGGCTCGACTATTTGTATTTTACTTTGTTAGTACAGCAGCCAGGGCCTCAACACACACACACAGAGAGCGCAAACCAAACAAATACATATGAATGTGTGCACATTAGGGTGGTGCAAACAAAGTTATGTCTGAATTTTAAAGATTCATCCCCTAGAATTGTTCCACATCGAAAAAATATACCACGGTTTATTTTGTTTTTAAGTAAAAAAAAATATTTAGAGGTCGCTTAAAGTGCGCAAAGTTTTCACTGTATTTTATATGGGGAGAAACATTTTTGGTAAAAATGGTAGAATTCTTGAAGATCAATATTTTCGGTCTTTCTCTCAACTTTGTTTCTACTACAAATGCTAATTTAACAAATTTTTTAATTTTCCTTATTTTTTAGGGGGCAACCGAAAACCTCGAAAAACTTAATGGGGGACCGATAAAAATAGTTTTCATTAGAAATGGCTAAATAAGCAATTGGGAGTTATTCCTGGAAGTCTGCTGAAAAGAAACTGAGTTTTCCTATGGAAAAATATTGGTTTTCAAGGATTCTATAGCATTTCAACAAAAGTTTTTTTTTCTCATGTAAACAACATCGAGAACTTTGAGCGCTTTGAGCGATCTCTAAATATTTTTAATAAAAAAACAGTGGTATTTTTTTTCGATATAGGGGGTGAGAGCATTAAAATCCCGACTTTTTTTTTATTCGCCTGCATTTTTGGACCGCCCTAGTGTACATCAAGGGCATGAAAGGGCCATCAAAGTGGGCCAGCAAGTGCAGACATGAGTTTTAAAATTTAAATTGGCATGTGTATATGTAGATGAGCATTTGTGTATGTATATGCATATCACCTACACACTGGGTAAAGAAAGAAAAAGAGAAAAACATACATACTTTTTGACAGCGCAGCAGGAAATTACAAACAATACTCAGCCAATTTGCGAGCGTATGAGCAGCCCATGTCAACTGTGTGCAATTAGTGCCCTTTTGCAGCCATTATTACTCTTTTACCTGCGCTGAGTGAAGCAACGAGTGGTAGCCAGGGTTGCCAACTACACTTAGCTATGAAGTGCCATATTAAGGATAAAAAAGTGCCAAATAGATAAATAAAAGTGCCAAAAGGGCGCTATTCTTTTTAATTCTTCACATTTTGTATGAAAATTAGAAACAAATTCCTACAACAAAAGTCCAATGCCAAAGTAAGGTTAACCAGTTGTACGTACTATAGAAATTAGAAAATTTTAGTCGAGAAAAGGAAGTATGTATGCGCAAAAGACTTCACAAAAATGTATTGAAATATTATTGTTTTTTTTTCGAAAGTGCCATTTTGGCACCTTGCGCCAAATTGAAAAATTAAGTGCCATTAGAAGTAAAATAGGGCCAAAAATGACACGGTTTGAGCCAAGTTGGCAGCTCTGGTGGCAGCAAGCTTGTATTGCGGAAGAATCAAATACATATGTACATACATGGAAGCATTTTGCAATGGTTCATTCTTTACGTCATGCCATGTAAAAAGTAATATTCAGTGTTGGATACGATGGCTGCATGTGGATGGGCCTATTCAGTACGAATGATACTTTGAAGTAATTAGCGAAAGCTGCCATGCGTTAACACAGATGTCAATAGTGAGGTACTCTTAGTAAAACTTAGTTACGGTTAGTGATTTTGTAAAAAAAAAACATATTCTAGTACTAGTAGAGATAACACAGAATATAAAAGGAAATATTTTGGAAAAATATCGATTATTATCGATATCAGTGATAGTGAAATCAGAGAATAGAACAAGTCAGAAGAAGTCTAGAAGGAAAAACATATTTACGTATAGATATTTTATTAATGACTGGCAAATGGCGGCCGTGCTTGACGGCGTCTTAAAATTATTTTGGTATTGTTATTCCCTCCCAAAACTCTTGTGGCCTCATTCAAAAAAAAAAATAAAATACAAAGATTTTAAGAGCTTTATGAAGGGAGATTTTCAAACAAATTTTGGATTTATGAAGCAGTCTTAATTTTTTATAAATGTGAGTGTTAGTTAATTTATTTTTGAAGGTATTAAGAAAGTATGTAGAGTATCGAATTTCTCCTGGAAATTTAATTTATAATCTTATAACTCAAGTCTACATACATACATATCACGCATTTTCTCCAAAGGTGTACTTATTCAACATTTGCCGTAACTTATCAATTTAATTGAAACAAATTATCCAAATAAGTAGCAAACTGCCCCAAAAATATGCACTACAGTAAAATTTCTTAAACCTCTTTAGTTTAACACCAGTATTGTGATATTTCATTTATTTTATCAATTTAAATAAATAAAAATTTTAGAACAGGTGGCAACCCTCCTCAAAAATATTTTCGGCAGTAAACTTTCCTAAACCTCTTTACTTTGATATCCATATTAAAATATTTAATCTATTTTTCTGCAGCAAGCCTTCTTAAATATCTTTCTTTTGACAGCCCTATTGCAGCATTTAGTTTATCTTATTAATTTGCCTTAACTGCAATTTTCAAACAGGTGGTAACTCTCTAAATTTTTTCTTCTGTCTGCCTGTTACAATTTTATTATATGTATAGATAATTCAATTATGAAATGCCTGCTCGTCTACATATCGTCACTTGACACGAATAAAAGCGAAAACTGAAAAGTTGACCGCGAAAAAAGACGCACAGAAAAACTTTAGCGAAGTAGCTGACGGCGAAGAAAGACGCCTTAACCTATTTTCGCGGTCAACTCTGTTTGCGGCTGTAACAGTAAGTATGTAGATTCCCAAAAGAATTTTAGAATTTTTGGGGAACAATGTCGAAGTGACAGTCCTTGGCCAGGTACAAATCTATGTTTACGCGTCTTTCTCGGCGAAGTTTTTCTCAAGCGTCTTTCTGCGCCAATTTTTTTTTTGCGCGTCTTTTTTCGCCGTCAAAACACTAGCGCGCCTTTATTCGTGTCTAGTGATAATAGATCCCCGGATAGTGATATGTTATCGTAGAAATTAATTTCTAAGAAAAACGAAATAACGAAAAACTTACTGAAGATGGCACGTCAAACCGTGTTTGCAAATGGATGACGGATATTCATTCTAAAATATTCAAGGTATCAGTATCCTTCTTGCACTGAGTTTATTAGCTCAATAAGAGGCTGGGGAGAGTCTAACAAGAATCGAAAGTGAGCCTTATATGCGTGAAATAAAAGTGACAGATGCCTCAAATAAGTCGACCTTAGCAAAAAAGGAAACACCTTCATTTTTAAACATAAGCGGTGGTAACTGATGATTACTATTGGTCATGGCCGCCTTCACACAAAATGTCAACATCTATTTAATACTAATTTAATTTAGATTTGATAGCAGTTAATTAATAGAAAATATATAGTTTGAACACATACCATTTTGTTGTATATATAGATCTTTGTTTGGCCTAATCCCACCCATTTTTCTTCTTCTTCTTGTAGGCTTTGAAATTTATGCCGTTGTGATGACGCAATGGATTGCAGCCTCAAGTGGGCACTCTTCAATACAAAGACGAGCACACTCGCACCTACCTGTGAGGCTGCAAATAGCGCGACAACAAAACCAAAATCTAGTGCTACAACAACAGCAACGGCCCTTACGGCTACGGCTGAGGCAAAATCACAAATCAACACAATTAAAATACGAGAAAGGCCAAAAATTGCCAAAACTACGCAAATATCTCTACGGCTTTGGCACATATTGCATAACTGGAAAATAAGCTCATTTATCGCCACAAAAATCACCACCACCACCAGCCCAACCAAAGCTAGCAGAGGTGGTGTCACGAGCGCCTTGTTCTCGCAAAGACTTTGTGCCCACGGATGCGTCAACAAATCCAATACACGCATGCTGCGAAGGAGTAAGCGAATTTAACGGCATCCACCTGCTTCCATCAGCGACTACACTTAGTCTGAGAGAGCGGAACACTAAATACATATAAAGGCTCTAAAGGAAAAACAATAACAAACGGACAAAAAACGGGTACAACGACAAATGCTGTTTTAGAGGAAATATTTTAAGCGAAAAAAGGAGCAACCAATCTAAAAAAAAAAATGAAACATTGTAAGTGTTTAATGAGTTCTGCTAAAGTTTAATTTGTAGAAATGTATTTTAGTTTAAAATTTTGCTACAGCTATTCATTTGTATGTACGTGTCCTATTTTCAAGAATTTTCTTTCTCCAACCCTAGTATCCTTGTTACTTTCATGCAGAAACGACTCAGCTTCGTGGTGTGTGACTTATTTACTTATAAATATTTTTTTTTTACTTTGCTATTTGCAGCGAATATTTTTATACACAAAGACATGATGGAGTTTGGCTAAAAAGATTTTGGTGCACTTAAAATCGAAATCAAGAATAAAGAAGCTATTACAAAAAAATACAGAGGTAGAACAGAAAAACCAAACTTTACATTACCACTACTAAGCTATACTCTCGTCTACGTGCGAATTCAATTAAATCTTTGTCACGAATTGATTCGCCGCCTTTGCCACGTCTCGTCTTGACTTAATTAAATCCAACTAAATCAATTTGACTCTATTTGAGCTGCGGCAGATTTCACGCCAATTGGAAATTGAACAGCAACCAGCACCACCGACTTGAATACCAAGAAAGCTACATACACAGTCTCTCCATAGCGACATAATCGTTGCAAGGAATCTCAAATTCAGCGAGCCCGCAATAATTCGCGCTGACCCTGGTGAATCAAGCCAACAAAATAAATTCCCCAACGAAGCAGACGTTTTCGCGCAAATTGTGCCAATCAAGGCGCAATTGTTCATTTGTGCAGTGGCCATGGAGCCTCCTGGCGGCTTGCCGCCGGACAGAGACAGACAACTAGTGCTGCGCCCTCAGCAGCAGCAGCAGCAGCAGCAACTGGTGCCTTTGGTGTCGCAAGTGAAGCCAACTCTAGCACTGAATCTTCAGCAGCAGCAGCAGCAGCAAACGCACTCGACGGCCACCACATCGCCGGCTGCGGTTGGTGCAGCTGCCACAGTGACTGCGACCGTTAGTGCGGCATCGCTCAACACGACCAACGCACTTGTGCGCGCTCTCAGCGGCGATGCTGTGTGTGTAACCGCAGCGGGCGGTAGTGGCGTGGTGCCAGCGAGCACCAGTCCTGCGCTGGCAACCGCAGCCATAGCGATATCGGGCACCACTCAGGCGGCCACTGTGTTCAGCGGCAGCGCCGTAGGTGTACAGCACTATCATCAGCCACATCATACACCCAACCATCCACATCCACCGCACACGCACCACTTGCCAGCGCATCCGCTTCAACCGTATGGCGTTCAGAACTCATCGTCGACCTCGTCGCTGCTTGGCGGCATCTCGAGCGGCAGCTCCAGCACTTCGAGCGGTGGACAGACCATTGAAAAGCTGTCACGTCCGATGGCATTTGATAAGGTGAGTCCGATAAAGAAAACGTAACTCAATTATATTAAATATATAGAAGAACAAATATTTATTGCATAGCAGAAATGTTGAGAAAAATAACAAAGGGTAGCTAGGAAATATAATATTCGCAGAAGCGACACATGGACTGTTGTAGACACTCAGCGGCATCTAGGCATTCTTGCTCTTCTTAAAAAAGCGACATGAGCACACTTGAATGACGCCATCCTTATCTTTGCCGTCGTCTCCGCTGCTCTCGCTCGACTTCTTTTTCGGGTGATGTACGGGGCAAACCAGTTCCAATTCGTCATTTCCTTCATCTTCAGCGCTTAGCAGCAGATCCAAGGCATTCTCAATAAAATTGATTGGTTGTGTGGGCCCTGCCAAGCTGTAAGGGGGCAACAGTAATGGCCGTGAAAGTAAAGCAGAATTGCTTGGATTTATTAATGTAGGTGTAGTGGCTGCCGAATTATGCAGCAAGCTTATTTGAGGATTCATTGAGTTGTAGAAAAAGTCCATGGCATCAGCGTCCTCGGCCACCCCAACTGCTGGGCCAATGCTTATGACTGACTTGGTTGGTTTGCCGTTGACAGAGAGTTGAGCGCCTTGAGCTTGAATGGGAGCACCGTCTGGGGGGAGGGGAGGGAATGTCTTTGAATTTAATGTGTAAAACGGATTTACAATGGGTTGGGTTTTATAAGTTTTAGCTACCTACTTTCAAAGGTCAGCTATTTTTACGACCGAATTAACTCACCTGGTCCGACTTTGTAGAGCATCATGTTGGCGAACTTCAGGTAACTTTCCATCGGCAGCGTTTTTCCATTCGAATGCTTGAACACTTGCAGTGCCTCCCGTACCATATTCGCCGCTTTCTCACTGTCTTGTTTCATTCTCTGCTGCAAATCTTGTGATTTTTCATACACTTTTTCCGGCTCTTCAATAACTTCCGCTGGCTTGTGCGACTGCGATAACAAAGTAGAGAGCGATGACTCCTTCATTTCCGGCTGCTGCCCGTAGGTGTGATTACTTTTGTCACCGTTATTATTATTGTTGTTGCTAATGCCATTGTATTTAGCTTTGCTATTATCCTCGCTGCTTACGGCATTGTGGTCATTGTTCCGCCTGTGAGCATCGCCCATGCTGGCATTCGCGCTTTTGTTGTCAACGCTATTGTTGTGATTTTCATTACGCTTATTGTTCTTCAGCACGGCATCTTTGTTGGCATTTCCCTCACTAACGCCGTTATCATTACTTAGCTTTCCAACCACATTGTTGTTCTCTGCAATGTTGTTCGAATGGTCGGTATTGATTTTTAGTGAATTGCGACTATTTAGTTTCGATACGTTACTCATCTCGGACCAACGTTTTAAACTATTGGCAATGCTCCGTGAATTCGGCTGATGGAATGTGAAGGAGTTGAGGCCGTGCTGCATGCCCATCATCGGCTGCGGTCCATTATCGATGAACAGCACCTCTGCAGCACCCCCCTCGCCAGAACCGAATGCGGCGCCATGCTGCATGTCGTCAAAAAAGCGCTCCCCGAACCCACCATTGTTTAGCAGATAAGTCAGCGATGGCTGGTGCAGGCCTTCGCTAACAACGCTGCCATCCTCCGCCAACTTTGGTGCCGCTCCGGCAAGCTGCTGCGGTGAGTGGCTGGGCTCTGTGCTCTTTTTGGTTTTCTCCGCATCAGATTTGTGGCTAAGCGAAGCGAAGGCTAGGTACGTACGAAAGGTATAAAACGTTTTAGGAAGGAATAATAAAATGCGCTACCGCAAACCTTTATCTATGGCGTGCTCCACAGCGGCTACGGCTTTTTTGGCCCACGCGTGCCCTGAGTGACCCTTGACGTCCTCATGGACATCTGACGTATTTGCTGTGTGCTCAATCTGAGCGGCCATTTTGATGTCATTCGTTATAGAGCGCTGATCCGATAGAATGTCATTTGAAAGTTTGGTTCGGTTTTGCATTGCGATCGAGCCGCGTTTGATGCGACGCAATGCTTGGGCTTGCTGAAACATAACTGCAAGCAGAGTCAGTGCTACACACAGTTCGTGGAATTTAATTGTTACCCAATCAGCAAATACTTACAAATACAAAAGACTAAGAGCAGAAATAAGCTGCTGTTGCGCATGTTGCTTGAAGTGATGCTGGCTATTTGCTGGAACCAAAATTGCAGGACTCAAAAATATGCCTTGCAGGCTTGAAAAATATATATGTATGTGCCTTGTGTAAAATTCAAAATTGATTGAGAAAATCAATTATTTTGTTTTTGTCTTTTGAAGCAAAGATAAATAATTGTGCCTTGGAAAGTGCAAGTTGTTGAACTAATACAGTATTTGAGGGCTAAAATTAATAGTTTTCGAATTCGCAGGCAAAATAAAGAAATTGAAGAAGAGTTTCTGTGTGCCCGGTGGGGACTTCTGCCAGAAGCGAGAGTTGTCGCTTAGCCGGCTGCAGAAGCCGCTTCGATGGCCTCGCGGTCGGCTATAGGCAAGCAGGACGGCGGTTTCGCATAACGCTCGCTCAATCAGTTATAACCCACACGAACTCCTACATACTAGTATCGTCCATGCCAGCAGAGATTAACTCAATGATCATCTGCCCGGCCAATTTATCAGGCATATCTGACTTGGAGGTAAGACGCAGCGCACGAGAATGAGGCCATATAGCCCCCAACTAGCTTCGATCATGCGCATGGAGCAATCTTGAAGCCGCGATTGCCGCTGGGCATCAGAGTGGATATTGTATATACATATATGAGTGTCACCTCTTCCTGAAATACTTTGCAGAATTTCGGGAGCCTAAAATTGATATCAGTCGAGAGTTATTGGCAAAACACACCTTATACATACCATCAAACTTTGACACATACAACATAATTATGTTAACTGGACAGAGTTCCAAAGACCGCAACTCACCTATTAATCAGTTTCTTCAGGTATGAAATCGAAGTTACCGTTCATATGCTATCAAGTACTTTGTTTTCTCAAAAAATAATGAAAAAAGTTACAATGGTATTTTCTAGTCGCATCGATATGTCCTCGATGTCGGGAAAGAAATTAACTTCGAAGTCTATATTTTTAAAAGCTCAACTTAGAAATTTTTGAGAGCCCCTCAATCACTACCAAGAAATTATGTTTCGTACATGTACACAGGTCAATTGGTCAATCGTGGGTCTTCTTTGGAAACGAGGAAATAATGATTGATTGGAGCTTTTAACCGCCTTTTTAATAAATGTTATCCTTACAATTATAGAATTCGCGATAGATCAACGGTATGGATGGGAGTGAGCCAGTTAAGTGACACAACCCTTGGCTGTCGTGCAGTATTAACTCCACCTGGGTACAGAAATGAAATTAAAAAAAAAAAATGTTTTGTTTGAAGGCGGTTTCAGCTTGAGGCTCTACGAGAGCTCATGTCGGCATATAATCCCCAAGTCTTTTTAATAAAGCACCAATTAATACCGCAATGTTTATTTTGTTCGCTAGCAAAATTTATTTATACCTTTTCATCTATAACGCCATACACAGTTTCCTAATTCCACTTCCAGTCGGTTGAAGTAAAATTTTCTGATGCTCATGCCGAAGATGGCACTGTCCTTACTTGTTTTTCATGCATAAGTAAATTCATATATTATTACATATTTTATTCTCACACAGGAGCATGCGGGCTCCTCGTGTAAACAGACATGAGAATGAATGAGAATTTTATTACCGGAAATGTTCTCTTGAGAACGAATAAAATACCAGTGAGAATTAATGTGCGTGTAAACGCCCATACTCACACAAACATGGCGCCACTCTCATGAGAATAACTCTCATCGTTTACGAGCACCTTTATCGCAAGCTGCTGTTGGTTTCGATCAGCTCTTATTGAGCCGAGAATTCTCGCCACCAATTCCGATGTTTTATCCTCAACATGCCTATGTAATCAGATCGTCAAAGTTAATGATTTTCGAGCTCTAACGCCATTTCTTCATATTCCCGCTTTGCCAAAAACATTTGGTACGCATTATTACTGGTTACTTTGTAATCACTTTTTAATCTTTGCTTGAGTTAAAAACATACTCTTGTATTGATCATATTAAAGTCGAGACCAACCAAAATCTATATTTTATAATAAAATCGGTCTTCTCCCGCCATCTTTATTTGCTCAAAGTATTTCCACACCTCAGTGACTGTCAAAAAATAAATTACGTACATTGGAAGCGGCACAATCATTGCACTTATAACCAGCTTATGCAGCTAATAATTGCTCAAATTTCAATTACCAACTTATTGCATTATCGATCAATTAAAAATCCAGCAGCTTCCTTTAGCTTACGAACAATTGTTCTTCTCCTCATTCCACCCATCTGCTGCCGCCTAAACTGAAAATTTAACGATGTCGTATAAATGCATACTAACATATTTACATGTATGTATGTTCCCAACAAGCAAAATAAACTTAAAGAAAGTTTTTTTTAAGTTTTCAATTATAAACATTAAGCTTACAAAACGTTGATTTTTTGTTTATAAAACGCTTGAAAGTAAGCGTAATATAATCGAAAAGGAACATTGGTTATAAGCGTAGAAATATAAACTTGTAATAAATGTTCAAAAGAAAGCTTTTTATAAGCGTAAATGTGTAAACTTATAATAAAGGTTCAAAAAAAGTTGTTTATAAGCGTATGAATATAAACTTACTAAAAATTTTCAAAAGAAAGCTTTTTATAAACATTTTTATAACCCTTTATTTAAAGATATTTCATTAAAAACTCATACATAGATTGCTTAACATCTAGAAACTAAACGAAATGCGAATTTTCGGCGGACTCATCTACAATCGCGAAAATATAAATAGGGAATAGACATTTTAGCATACAAATTCACGATAACACACAAAAATTAAGCATAAAAAAGTTAATTATTACATCTTGTTGCATGCTTTCCATTACATGCGGTTATTGGCAAATTGGAAAAACGACATCGATGCAGCTATATATTCCGCTTCATCGCCGCCATTCTCATTGATGAACTTTTCTGAAAAAAATATAATACATTTTTAATTGAATGTTAAACTAAGAAAGGATAAGGAGAACTCAACATTTGAAGACTCGAATGCTCCACCGATTAGCGCAGCGGGTCCTGGATTGGATTTTTTTTTTTTACCGCATCGGTTTTATTTAATTTTTTCTTTTAATAATATATTTTAAAAAACGTAAACACGTCACATACGATTGAAAAATTGTTATATTTACTATTTCATGTCGTTGGCATTTGCATTTCATTTATAAGTTTAAGTTATTTATAAACATTCGCTCTCAAAACTTATTAAAGGTTTATTTGAAAAAACTTTTAATAAGCTTAATATTGAAAATGCTTATTTAACGCTTATTATAGCAAACTTAATTTAAGTTATTTTTAAAAACGTTTACTGAAATGCTTGTTGGGTTTGTTAGTTTAAAAATAAAAAATTTTATTTTTTTTTGTGTGTGTGTGAGTACACTCGAGCTCCTCGTTCGTTCACTCAGCGATGAGATGACCTTGTCCTCCTCACCCACAATGCAAGAAAGAATATTCACAAATTGGATTTCACCAGCGACATTGATGTTGACGTTGACAGCTGATTTAAAAATTTAGGTTGAGCCTTCAAGTCGAAGCACCAACAACAGCCGATCAAACCAATAGTTGGTTACTCGTACCCCAATACCAATGCCAACTAAGCTATGTAACTACTTGAACGACAGCCCACAACTATGCGAGTGTGGTGCTTGCCGTAACTCGTTGCTTCTTCTGCGCGCTTGCTGCAACATAAAAAAAAATCCTTGAAACTTAATTAATTTGATTTTGAGCAGTTATGCGCGCAGCAATGCATCCTTGGCATACCGCTAGTCAATTATGTTGGTATGTATGTATGTACATGCGAGTACTTGGATACATACATACATATAATTTTAGTATGTATTTAATATGCGACTTTGCTTTGTGCTTTTGATGCGCTCGACGCGTTCATATTGCAGTTGGCAGCAGTAGTGGTAGTGAAGCCATTTTGTGGTATGTTAGTTACTTGAAAAGGAAGTGAGCGACATTACGCTGTGACATGACGTTGATAGATAATAAGCGATAATAGGCAAGAAATGAAATTGAAAGAAAGAACAGTGATCTAAGTGTAATTTTTTAAAAAGTGCAGAGTCTGCCTAATAAAAGCCTGAAATTCATTTGAAAGCCCCTATACTTACGAGCCCCACTAGTCAAGATTTGAACTAACTTAACCTGCCCTCCCAACCACAAGGCAGTTTCGGTAATTTATCTCAATGAACTGCATTGTTTCTCTTAGCAGTTCGTTGCCCCACTGTTGTCAACTTGCCAACCGGATTAGTATTCACTGAGACCTTCTCCAAAATTCAGGCATTGTTTACTTGATACCTGGCTTACAAAGCTATTGGGAAAATGCCCATTCCATCAGATATCGCAGTTGAACTGCGTTTGCCGATTGTATGAAATTTTGAATCAGAGTTCATTCTAGCCGCGATACCAAAGCCCAGTTGAAACAGTCTTGCTCAGAGCACACCTCCCAAAAAAGTCTCTAATATGTCGGTCTGCGTGACCTGCCTTGCTTTACTATTTAGGAAGATACCAATTCCAATTGAGTCTCTTGATAAGCATAACGATCAGGTATTTCAACCTGAAGATAGTCAAGCCAAATGTTGTTAGTTTCCGTTGCAAAGTTCCACTAGTTATACTGAGCTTGGTATGCCTCTTGCACTCAAAGGACTTCTTACTTTCGCTGTCCAAATAACGTCGCGAGTTCAAGGACAGCCCAAAAAGTACTTTTCTTAACTCTCAAAATCTAAACCGAAGAGCATAAATGGCAGGGCTGGCAAATAAATCGGGATTTTTTAAATAGAAAAATCAAAATCCGGATAGAATATAGAACAGCGCGAATAGAATAGCGCGAATATTCCTATTTCTTATTTAGTCTTCGACTATCTCTCAATTTGGACCTCAAAATCTGAAAATTCCTCTGATAGCATCCAGTAGTTCATAACCAGGAATATATTTTGTTCTATTCATTTCATCATCTTGTTCATTTTGCAGATGGAGACGATCGTACGCGCCATGCAGACGGACTATGGAGAGAATAAAAAAGCCGTGCCGGTGCGCATGCAGAAGGGTTTCCTCAACAATATTCCATCTGCCTTTATGGGTAGGATTTTCTCTTTCTCACATTCCACACCTTCTGCCTCATATCGAGTTGGAATTAAATTTTCTCTTTCCAGGCTATGATCTTGTCGAGTGGCTGATGGACCGTTTGCTTTGTGAGGAGTCTGAAGCATTAAACATAGCCAACCAACTTTGCTTGCATGGCTATTTCTTTCCCGTTCATGACACCAAATCACTCGCAGTCAAAGATGACTCTTCACTATATCGCTTTCAGACACCATACTATTGGCCCTGGCAGCACAAGGCACCGGACAATGTAGAGTATGCCATCTATCTGACCAAGCGTTCACTGCGCAACAAACAACGCCACGCATTGGAGGAGTACGAGGCTGAAGCCTTAGCATCGCTGCACAAGAGTCTCAAAGGTAAATGGGACTTCATTTCAATGCAGGCTGAGGAACAGACGCGGTTGGCTAAGGAGCGAAAGAAGGGTGACAAGATCGTCAGTGATTCACAAGTAAGCGCGTGTAATATTGCACAATTGATGCCATTTTTTACAAGTGTATTTGCATATTTTATCGACAGGAACGCGCCTATTGGCGTGTACACCGTCCACCGCCCGGCCAGTTTACTCCCCTGGAGCCATGCCCCATACCGTCACGTGATCGTTTGGGATCCAAGCCGAACAAGAAGAAGACTATAGAAGATGTGCAGCGGGAAGTGGACTATCTCCGCAAATCACTCAATCGCACGCGCATGAAGATGTCTCAGGCCTGCGAATCGCTGGTCGCCTATTCGGAGACGTTCGCCGAGTATGACTTCTTTTTCCAGCCAGTTTTGCCGTCGAACCCATGGGTTACGGAAGACACCACTTTTTGGCAGCTGAACAACAGTTTCGTCGATGCACCCACGGAGAAACGTGTGAAACGTTGGGCGATTTCTATCGAGGAGCTGGTTTCCGATCCCACTGGCCTGCAGGAGTTCACCAGCTTTCTGGAAAAGGAGTACTCGCACGAGAATATACGCTTCTGGATTGCAGTTAACCGTTTGCGGCGTTCAGCGCACTCGCAGGTTGCGCGCAAGGTCAACGAAATTTACGAGTGAGCTTCAGCGAGCAACACACACGAAGCCATTTTTGTTTTGAGATTTTAAAATTTTCATAATTCCTTTCGCAGAGAGTTTCTGAAGCCGGGCGCACCATGCGAGATCAACATTGACGGCAAAACGATGGAAAGTGTACTGAAAGGACTGAAAAATCCCTCTCGTTTTACTTTTGACTCCGCGTCCGAGCACATCTACATGCTGCTGCTAAAGAAGGACTGCTATCCGCGCTTCATACGCTCCGATCACTACAAGCGTCTTCTGGAGTCTGGCGTGCAGCCGTTGCAAAACAAGAAGCGCTTCTTTAACTTCGGTGGCGTCGGTGCTGGCAAAAAGAAGATGACTGCGGCGCTATCCAGCCAACCGAATCTTGGAAGCGTGACAACTACAAAGAATGCTGGCGGCGGTGGTGTGTGCTCTTCAATGATGCAAGCGCCGCCGCCCGGAAATTTGGCACGACGGCGTGGCAGCGACCGCAGCCTCAGCGGGTCCGCACACGAGCTGGCTGTGATTGGCGTAAATAAGGACATCACAACCAAAGTGCCACATTCGCACTCGCAAAGCAATCTGAGTGAAATTCCCTACAGGTAAGTTGGCTGCGTACGCTCACTTAGTGGACTCTGTCGAAGTTAGTCGTTGACCTGAGCAAATAAATAGTCAGGTGTGCTATTCTGTTAGATGTTGCTTTTTCTGCAATATTTCGTAAATAATTTTGTATAATTTCCAGTTAAATTTTTAGCTAAATGACTTAAGTAAAACTGAGTGCTAAATAAAAACGCAGTAACATATCTATGACAAAATAACAGGGACCGTAACAGTTACAAATTTTATTAAAAAAATCGCTCTTAAAAAATGTTTTTTGACCTTTATTTAATTACTTCTTAAAAAACATTTTTTTCTGATTTTTATTTTATAAATCCAAATTCCGAGTGAATTTCAATCTAATCCGCTTTTAATTCTAATTGGCAGGAAATGAAATTCACTCGGAAGTGAATTGAATAAAAATTAAAAATAATTGTTATTTTGGGTTTGTAAAATAAAAATTTAAAATAATTTTTTTTTTGTTAACTTTGCATAAAAGTTACAAATAAAAATTTATTTTCAAATTTGATTCCCGGTGAAAAAAAGAAATCGGTTGGTATGTGCCACTTAGTTATAGAAAATTTCCTAAATAGTGAATTTTTTAATAACAGTTTTCATCAATAACTGTTATATGCGGTCCCTGCAAAATAATAAAGCCTCTTTTAAAACGCTTTTTCGTTACGTTGATAAAAGTTCTACATACATTTAAATTTTCAATCTAATTTTCTTTTTCGCATATTACCATACACAACTTTTTGTTCGAAACACAATTCAAACGCATTACACCCACTAAAATATTTAACTAAAAAAAATTACAAAACAAAACTGGATAAATCACGAAATCATATCGAATACTATTCACGAATATGGAATATATGCAGTAGTGAAGCCATTTACAGGGGGGACATGCCGCAACTCCAAGTCACGGATGTCGCAACGCAGGCTCCGCCGCTCGGAAATCGCGACAGCCCAACGAACAATTTACGCTCCCATCAGTAAGATGTTATTTTCTCTCTAAACCACCAAGCATTTCAGAACAACTCTTAACTACTATCTATCCACTGCTTCCCAACTGCTGTTGCTGTTGCTCTACAAATCTAACGAACTACCGTTGTTGTCAAACTTGGCGTGTTGTGTTAACCACTCTCCTGATAAGGGAACTAACTACATACATATATACATACTGCATCATCCTCTGCGCCACTCATCTACTTCATATCGCAAATTTTTCAACAATTTAACTCCAATTTGATTTTTTTTGCTCATTTTGTTATCTTCTGTATGTATTTAAGTATATTTGTTCATCATGTCTTCGCGCTCATAACTCAACGTTATTCATGCTCTGTGTTGAATTGATTGTTTATGGCTCTGTGCTAATTGTAATCCTTCCTAATTCAGTCTCAGTCCTGTCAAATCAAGCTAACTTTCCGCGTTAACACTCTTTCAAAATAAATCTCACTTTTTTGCCCATGAAATTTATTGCATTTTCGTTGCTATGCTGGATTTTAAGTTAAACACTAATCTGAGATACTCTAACTGTTGTATTGTAAATATGTATGTATGTACAAATGTTTATCTGTATTTAAAACGACATGAAAAATTTGCTAAATGTGCTTATTCACTTATTCTGGGCGCTCCCTATTAATACGATTCCCATCACTCCGTAGAGAGACATCCAAGGCGAAGCCCGCCCGACTAGAGACTACCGTCGAAATGTCCAGTAGTGCAGTGTGCCCTTGGGAAACTTCTGATGAGCCACCCACAACACAAGCACCGACACTACTTCAGCCATCCCAAGTTAAGTTGTCCGTGTGTCCGTGGGAGCAGGAGAGTGCGCCTGCCATTACTAGTGGCAAAGTAGCCAAATCGGTCACACAGCGTCTCACCAGGTAAATAGCTGCAAATAGGCACCGCATTGATGTTCGAAACTACTAAATGTAAAATTATATCACAGCACGTCTTCGGATATCAGCGAGGTTTCGGATCGCTTGCCACGCAATTTGGGAATACGTCATCAGAACACCGTCGATAGCGGCGAAGCGAGTAAGCGTCTCGTGCCGAACTTCAGCGAACAACGAAGAGCTTCGATGTCCTTCACGCCATCGTAAGTTTCCTGCTATTTTTTTTTTTTGTTAACTTGCAACTGCAGGTATTTTGTAAATGACTTTATATTCTTGCCCCCCTTAAAGTCGTATAGCAGAATACCAATATGGACAGACGTGCATATCTGCGAAGACATCGTCTACCCCATCGCCCACCGTGGGCAGTCAAAGTGTTGTGGACGCCACGCTGCCAACGCCAACGCCGCCGCTGCTCACACAAAGTATTGCCACCATTGCCACGGCGACCGCCATTAGCAGCTCCTCTGGCACTATTTCGAAGGATCCACCTTCCATATCGGATGTGGAAATCGAAGAGGAACTCAACAAGTTGGCGATATCGCAACGCAACAGCGAATCGTCCGCCTCCGAAATGTCTGCATTGCCACCCCCGACTCCCACACCTCCACCCATGACAAAGGTGACACCACCACCGCCAGATGACAGCATCCCCACTTATTATCAGCCGGCTGAGCTAGTCTCATGTGAGAGCCCACACAGCGATTTGTTGTGTGGCGCGGAAGAGAGCGGTGGAAGTGGCAACAGTGACAATGGCAGCTTAATTATATCCGAATCCGATGTAGCGGTGCCGGTGCAAGAGGTGCAAATTGAGCTTATAGAAAGTTTCGACGTTCAGGAAGAAAAGAGCCCGCAGTTGCCAAAACCAACAATACAAGTTGATCAGGAGGTGGAACCGCTAGCTGCAACTGACGCAGGCGCAGGTTAGTTGTAACCAAACAAAAGAAAAAAAAGTATGTGCACACGCAATTTTATATTTTTTCAGAAGCACCGACCGAAGCAGAGGCCTCCGATAGCGAAACTCAAAAGACGCCCACACCAAGCCTTGGAAACTCCACGCAAGTAACGCCTGTAGCGGAGCAAACGCTTCCACCACTTTTCAATACTTCCGAAGTGCAGCCTGCGGCCCAAGCACACATAACACAAATGTTTGCGGATGCAATGCCAATGGCCGTCTCAATGATACCGCCACCGCCACCGCCTATCGGTCCGATGGAGGAGGAAGAGCAACTGCGCATGGAAGAGGAAATCGCAGCCGCACAAGAGACCCAAGAAGAGCTGTCACCCACTACCGACGAGTACCAAGAAGGTCTGCAGTTCGACGGCGACGACAAGGAGGATTACGATTACGACATCATAGACACCGACACACAAGCTGGCTATATACCGCCCGCACCGACACCGGCACCGTCTATGGCGCCACTAGCCGAAATGGATATAGATACAGTGGATGACGATGAGCCATGCGAGGAGATCGAGCCAATGGTTGAAGTGGAAGAGCTGCCAAAAACACCAACAGCTGAAACAGTTATGCCAGCGATTGTCGAAACTATAGTGCCAGTTATCGCAGAGGAGGTGAAGAAACGGCGTAAGAAACGCATCGTAGATGGCAGAAAGCCACACTCCGTAGATGAGAAAGAGAAGGCAAGCACATCGGCGGCAGGTGGCGCGACGACGGAGGCCAGTGGTGGCACGAATAACCAAGCTGACCGCAATGCGGTGTGCCCCTGGGAGGATGAGTAAGTAGTCAGAATTCGGATGAAAATGATGAATTTAAACTGACTTTTTTATATTTTTTTTTTATTAGAAACGTAACCACCAGCGATGGCACATTTGTAAAAACCTATGCTACGCTCGGGTATTTATGAATAAAGCAGAACCTCTTCAAATCTATAGTTACCAAAATACTGAGAAAAAAGAAAAATCAAAAGAAATAACATTTGTTTGCATCGCAAATTTACACACACACACACATACTTATATACACGCACACTCAACTAAGCACTCATATATTGACAAGATTTGCGTATAGATAAAAATATAAGACAGTAGGAGTGAAGGTTTTACATTGCCGTGCAGGGAAGCACTTTGCGACAACACCATTCTATTCGCGCATAAAATTTATATATTCGCGAATCTTAAACTTTTTCAGGTTAATTTATTTCATATATGTAAAATTCGGTGAATTATTTTCTTAGTTCGCGATCACTGAAATTCAAAATATGTACTTGCTTCTTGATATTTAATAGAAACAGGCTATAGAAGAGCGGGCGCTTTTTTTTGGTTTGCCCGCACAAAGCAAAGCGTTCGGCACAAATTTATTTTTCCCTGCAGGCAGATAAATCAAACACGCACACGCATTCATACGTAATTACACTAGGAATTGGAGAGATCTTGAAAAACCACGTTGTGAAGAAGCAAACCAATATATTAATGAGAAATAAATAGCCGCTAATTAATGCCATAATATTTATAGACGTCTAACATACACATTTACAAAACACAAACCAACCAGCAAGCAACCATAAAAATGGGTATCAAATCTAACAGGAAATAAATAGAAAGTGGAATGCATTGCTTAACGTTATAAGTACATTTCGACGGCTGGAATAGGGCGCTTTTGGACTTTGGTCTTAAATAGCGCTTTCTTCAATCGAATTCTGAAATATCGCGTTCTTGAAACCTTTTCTAAGTTAGGGCGTTTTCGAACCGGCTGCTTTGATAGACTGATCTTCCTACCAGCCTTCGATATGTACGCTAACTTCCCCAAGTGAATTGTTTATTTCTGATAAAATTTATTTTTTTATTTATTTTTTATTAAAAATAATAGGTGCAATCCCGTATTCCTCGGACTCGGACTAGTAAAACTGTCAAAAAATAAAAATTCGCTCAGAGCGAGAGAGTACATTGAAAAGTACGGGATCGCTTTCTAGTAAAAAATTGTAACTTCTGTCAACTTCAACATAACCTCCAAATTTTGGTTGTAAATTTTTGCTTATTTTGTATGTAAACACACTCAGCTCACGCATGTAAATAACCAAAAATACTTTCAAATTCATTAGAATCCACTTAAACAAGTAAATAAATACTTTGAAGCATGAATTAGCAGAGTGCACTTTTCTTTTGTTTACAATTTGGTTGCCAAACACACTACAGCTGATCGTTTGACACATTTACCAGAATTTACCCGCAAAAAATTCTCGGACTAAAACTGGTAACTTCTGACAGAGAGAGAACCGTATTTACTCTCTTTTTTGTCCTCTCAATAGTCAGAGAACCGAGTACGGGATCGATTTCCAGTAAAATCTGACTGATTCTGACTATTTCTGACTAGTCCGGACTCGTACGGGATCGCAACTAATATAAGCTGAGTAAGCAAAGGCTGAAGCTAAGGCGAAGTTTCAAAAAGCAATTGAGCCTTTTGACAAAAGGGGTTGATTTTGATGTGTTGCGGGAAGATTTGTAACAAAAATGAATGAACCCAAGCCGTAAGATTATAAGCCGAGAGGCCTAAGTGAAAAAAATGAGTCACATTTTGTATGCAATTCGATCAGTTAAAGAGGTTTAAAGGAACTGAAAAGGGAAAGAACAAATTCTGACACAAATCAAAGCATCTGTTGTAATATTTACCTCGCTTTTATTGACATGACTTGCAACAATGTGGTTACATGAGTTTTGATAGCTTGAGGGCATTTTTTAGAATCCACAGAAAACTTGAAGTCAAGGTGATTTTGCCTTTGAAGTGCTAATGAAATCATCACCAGCTGTTACAAGGCTGGCAAAAATACTTCCATTTGAGCGCATTCGGAAAATATTTCTCGTCAAGTGCAGTGCTTTAAAGTAAGGCCGTCCAATATAATGAATTTTGTGTTGTATGCCTAATTTTTAAAATCAAAAAAACTCGTTAAACCGATTGATTTCTTTACTTGGAAACTCGAACATTTTATTATTTAAGTTTATTATTTTTATTTTTTAACCATTACCAATTTCATCAAAGTTAATGGTGTCTTGATGTAAAACAAACTATTTTATGGAGATAAACAAGGCCAATTTTACTACCATTGGCTTAACCAGGCCAGTCGAGAAGGGCTCAGGGTGTTCAATTGTTCCGGCGCCGGCTGAATATACATAAGACGCCCGCGCAAACATGAAAGATGAAAACTGAAAAGATGATAAATCGCGAAATAAAATTGGGATATTAAAATCCCGTTGCCAGGGTATCTGCTAATGTGGTTATATTTTTAACTCAGTTTACAAAAACAAAATACACTAAAGAATTCTAATTTTTAACCAGATAACGTTAAAACCATGATAAAAATATAGTAAGGTAGAACCGCTGAGAGTCACTTTTAAAATTCTTGACGTTTCCAAACAATTTAATTTTTAAATTTGCTCACAAACTCACACACACATTTTCATTTTCAATCTCAAGCAACAACAATTTCGAACAATTTCAATTTTTTATTTTCACTTTTATATGATTTTAAAATGTTGGCAAACTTCAAAAAAAAATCATGGCCGACAAATTGAGAGAACGGTTCTACCTTACTATGTTTTTATCATGGTTAAAACCAGGCAGGTTTGAATAACACAAATAATAAAATTTCTTCAATATGAAAACTTTGCGTTCCTTGAAATGAAGAAAAAAGATGCGCCTCCCATGAAATGAAAGAGAAAAAAACTTTCTATTTTGACCAAAAAGGATTGAAACTACGGAAACTATTATTCTAATGAATCTGGCCGCTCAAACAAGATCAGACGTTGACAATATTAAAACACATATGAAGTCGTTTGAATCTATTTTGTTGGCTTCTATTTGGTTCAAAACTCGGCCCCAAATTATCTATCGGAGTAACATTTTTTATGAGCCACTGATGTGGAAGCGCCAATATAAAGTGTTTAATTGAAGGATAAATCGTTGGTTCCTTAGATACATTTCAAGAAGGACGGAGAAAAAAAAAATTGGGTTACCAAAAGAAGTAGTGGATTCAAATTCTGAGACACAGTTCAAGCAAGAGGACGTCTACAGCATACTTCTGTGTAGGATATGGGCGCTAATATCGACTTGGTTGAAGAAATTCGATACTTTAAGACTTTTCACGGAGCAGCATTTTCCTGCCAACTCTTAAACAAGTTACCAAACTGAAAGCATTATCCCCTAATATCTTCGCATCATTCCAAGTCTTCTGACTTATTCCTGTGACTGTTGCTGAAGGCGAGCGTTTATGCAGTCTATTCGCTTGGGTTACATTCTACGAGTAACCAATACATAGGTTAACTAGCCTCGAAACTTTGGCACTGGAATCATCACTGGATTATATCATGGGTTCTGAATCTGTCAACACAGTGGTTTCTGACCGAAAATCCCAGTATTTTTTGACAAAATTCACATAACACATGTGACGAAAGTTTAGGCCTGAAGTAGCCCGCTGAACGTTACCCAACATTTTGTTTCCGAAAAACTTAAAAATTGCATTGGAAAAAAACTGAAACAGGAACTTTAGTAGCCGGTTTAAAATTTGTGTTGCGCGAACTTAAAAATAAAAAACAAATTTACCGTATACTAAAATTCAACAGAGTTGGTAATAGAGAAACGTCAATGAGATAACTAGTTAAACCGAAAGTTCGTTGTACTGGGCGAACACTGTAAATTGCATTTATGAAAATCATCTTAAATTTCAGACGAGAATGTGGCTTACCCTGGAGATATTTTATAAGACGATAAAATTAAATTTGAGCTATTTTTGAATTTTTTCTACACAAACTAAGTTAAAATATGGGCACTAAATATTAATAGCCTAAGATATGCAAATGTATGTATTTAAGAATTCACTATAAATTTTATTAGCTACAAGCCTTTTGTTACTGTATATGCGCTGTAGCTGCAATAATCAGTGTGACCAGATTATCTCAAAGACCGAAGTTAAATTGATTTTGCAAAAAGGTTATGAAAAGTTTGATCCTGTACTTATCGTGTTGATGACTTTTTCGGCGAAATCGGTTCTATATAAATAAATATTTCAAACATTCTTATCAAAACACAGTTTAGTTCCGGAAAATAAAAACAGAAAACTTTTTTTAATTAAGATATGGCAAATTCTCAGATCGAACTAAAGAAAAATGAAAACATGAAATTACTCGAAAACACAGTTCAACAAAGGATTATTCGTACTTGTTTTTAAGAAAATCTAAGAGCTCATTTTCTCAAACAAATGGTGCTTTGCATAGTCATTTTATTTATTGAACGGTAAGCGATGCAGTTTTTGAAAGTAAAAAGAAAAGTAGTCATAATCCGTAATGACTAATAATTATTACTAATTAATTATTATTAAATATTATAATAAGTTCACATCCGAATTTTCTTATGAACATGCGCGGCAAAAAAGGCTAGAGAAAACCGCTAAAACTAGTCTGAAAAAGACTAACCTGGTAACACTGGCTATAATAGTGCTGAATACGTGTCACTTTCCGATTGCCAAAATATTAAGAATGCAATCTAATTACTTCAATGAGATAAAAGCATTTTTAATGTCTCAAAAGACCAAAAGTTTCGTCACTTGTCGACGCGACTACTCTGAAAGAATAACGAAGAATACACAAATGTTTTTGAAAACTTTTTTTAAGCCAATACCTTTTGTAGAATGATGTTTTATGTGTGCCAAAGAACTACCTACCTACCACGTATGAAAGTAGGACAGCTATTCTTGCGGCCTTCGACCGCACGGTCTCGGCTTTCGTGCACACACAACTCTCGAGCCCCAAAATGTATGCAACGAAAACGAGACACTGCCGACAAATAAGCAACCAAACCGCGGATGGATGAAGAAAAGCAATGTTGGACATTTAGCAGACGCTTGAAAACCCCGTTTAGCGGCGGCAGTCTGGATTCAATCAAATCATAAGCCATCATTCTACGAGACGTTTGCGGAATGTGGAAGCACGATTAACTAGTAATAAGGAAGCAAAGTATTGGAAAGAAAATAAA